CAGAGCAAAAATAAACATTCCAATTCATGAAATAATATGAATGAAAGGTTAAGTGTCCTTTGTAGCCTTTGCTCCACTTAAAACCAATTAGAAAGGGAGACCTTATTCAGTTTCCTGTATGCTCAAATCAGCCTGGATGGTAACAAGCTTGGATTCTGGGGTGTGTTTGAAGGAATTTTCTAATATTTTAGGGTTAAAGAAAATATTCTCCATCTTTTCATAGCTTCAAGAATACATCATCTTCTTGGTTGTTTAACATCCACTGCTGTTAAGCTCTTGACTTGTCCTAATTTAAAATTCTGTTCTGAAATCTTCCATAATCTATGCCTTATCCAATACTTCCCAGTGGAATGTGCCCACTGAAGATTGCATCAACAATAGGGTTTTTTCCTCTTCAGTCCTAGGTATTTTGTAAATCATATTATCAGTGTTATATGTGAACCCATGAATCTCGGAAACCTGCTTTAAGTACAGCAGGGAATTGAACTAACAAAATATCCCCACAGCTCCAAAATAAGAAAAGGAAATCAAAGTAGAATTAAAGGTTTTTGTATGGACATGCAATCACATCGCCTCCAACAGTGGAGTTGCCTGCATTACCTGTACCTTGCACCAACATTGACAATAGCTAAGGCTAAAATGGAGATGTTAAAGCTCACTTTTATGTGTATTTTCTTGAACTATGGCTATTAAAAAACATTCTTTTTTTTTTTCCCCATCTAAATAGCAAGAATCATAGAATCATAGAATCACAGAATCAGCTGGGTTGGAAGGGATGTCTAAGATCATCAAGTCCAACCCTTGATCCACTACTGCTGTGGTTACCACACCATGGCACTGATGCCACATCCAGTCTTATCTTGAAAACCTCCAGGGACGGAGAATCCACCACTTCCCTGGGTAGCCCATTCCAACGTCTGATCACCCGCTCTGTAAAGAATTTCTTCCTAATATCCAACCTAAACCTCCCCTGGTCCAGCTTAAGACCATGCCCTCTTGTCTTGCTGATGGTTGCCTGGGAAAAGAGACCAACCCCCCCCGGCTCCCCCCTCCTGTCAGGGAGTTGCAGAGAGTGAGGAGGTCTCCCCTGAGCCTCCTCTTCTCTGGGCTGAACAACCTCAGCTCCCTCAGCCTCTCCTGATAGTACTTGTCCTCAAGTCCCTTCACCAGCTTTGTTGCTCTTCTCTGGACCTGCTCCAGCACCTCAATATCCTTCCTGAACTGAGGGGCCCAGAACTGAGTACAGGAACTGGCCCAGAACTGGCCAAGAACTGGACACAGGATTGGAGAGCAGGACTGCGATGGGAACAGTTCCAGGCATGGAGAAAAACATACAGCAATTGACAGGATTTTATTATATGGACCTTAGAGTTATCATATGGACTTTACTGTTATTATGTGGTTTCATTGTATTCCCACTACACAGTGCACAGTCTGGACATGCCCAGGCTTGCCATGAGTTTGCCTACTCCCTGCTTCCCCCGCTCCTCCCCCTTTTGCCCGTGTCCCTATCCTGGTTTGTTCTCCTGCTTGTCTGTCTCATGCTCCGCCCTATGTTCTGGCCCTTTCCCCTCCCGAGCTGATAAAAGACCGGGTGCACGTGTGAATAAAGGACTCTACCTGCATCCCACCTTTGTGTCCGGGACCCGTGCGGTGCCACCGCCCTGTCCTCCCCTTTCGGACCGCGGCATATGGCGTCCAATGCAAAGCAAAGGTAGAGGTTTTTATCTTAAAAAACCTCCCACATGCCACAAGGGCTCAGACTACGCAGAGAGAAGTGTTTTTGTCCCTCTGTCCTTCCTGGTTGAACCCCAGATCACAGCAAGACGGCCGCTGCACTGAGAAAGGTGAGCACCGGGAAAACCTCTAATCCCATCTCCCACCCTCACAAAAATTTTTTAAAACCAACTGCAGACTAATAGAAGCCTAAGTAAATCCAAAAATATGGGCCTCTCGCTATCTACCCCTCAAAAGTTTGTATACCCCAAGTTAAAGACTTTATTTTGGAAAACGGACACCCCTTAGACAAAAAAATCCGCAAAAGCCCTTGCTAAATGGCTTGAAAATAGAGGGGAAGCAGTCTCCGGCAGCATGTCTCTAAAAGACTGGGAGAAAATTGAAAATAATATCTGGAAAGCGAAAGAGAGGGGAGACAAAGTTGCTATTGAAGCATTAATCGCCTGGAGGTTGGTTCTGATGATGCTACAACACCAAATAACCAGTTCCAATGAAAATCTCCAAGAATCCGAGCAAAAATCCAAGCCCCCATCCCTGGAAAAGGGCAAGTCCTGAAGGTCCCGGGACGGCGGGGAGCAGGGAGAGAGCACGGACAGCGGGAGGGAGAAACAAAGCGCAGAATACCAGCAGTTTTTGCATCGTGGTGTCGGCGAGCTGGGCGGTCATGCGGGTGAAATGGAGGAGCGCGGGGTCGAGCGCGGGAGCGGGCACCGCCTGCAGAAATGGCACTCGAAGATTTCGTGCGTCCCCGGCACGCCCATGGACCCTCACAGCAGAACGCCCTCTCCTTCCAGTGCTGCCTCTACCCCCATGTCATCGCCCTCCCGGGATAGATGGAAACTAAGGGGCAGCTCCAAGCGCAGCGGGGGCAGGAGCCGGGTCCGGCGTGGGGCCCGGAGCGGGGCCGGACCTCTTCCGACAATAACATCAGGGGAGATGGCTGCCTGCATGAAACCTTTGTTACTGAAGCCCCCGCAGCTGCCGGACAGCAAAGATGCCCCTGCCCTCTAACGGTCTTTGGAAAGCCTTCAGGACAGAGGCTGCACAGGCTAACGACGCCGAGTTTTCAAAAGCCTTTCCAATTTATCTAGAGGACGGTCGTGCTCCAGAGTGGCGTCCGGTGTCATACCCTATGTTGAAAGACATCAAACACGCAGTTGTGCAGTATGGTTTAGGTTCACCTTATACCACTGGGCTTTTTGAATCGTTTTTCCTCGCCTGCCGTTTAATACCGTATGATATCAAAGCGGTAATTAATGGACTGTTATTGACTGTGCAAGCATCCGTTTTTGAGGCAGAATGGAAACGGCTTGTAGTTAAATATGTCAATGAAAAGATGGAAAGGCGTGGTATTCCAACAAGCAGTGCCACTGACATGTTGTATGGAGAGGGCAGCTACGCCAGCCAACAAGACCAGTCTCTTGTGAATTTAAAATATCTGGACATTACAAAAGAACTGGCAATGGAAGCCTTTAAAAAGGTTGCTGATACATATGTCCAAACACCTTCATTCACCCTAATTCATCAGGGCCCAAAAGAACCTTTTGCGGACTTTATAACCAGGCTAAAAGAAGCTATAGCACACCAAGTCCAGCAGAAAGAAAGCCAAGATATTCTGTTTAATAAGCTTGTGGTTGAAAAAGCGAACGAGGATTGCCAACAAGCTTTAAAAATGCTAAAAGATCCCACACTTCTGGAGATGATAGAAGCTTGCAAGAATGTGGGGTCTAATTCTCATAAAGCAAGACTAGTAGCTGAAGCCTTAGCTGGGCCACAAACCTGTTTTCACTGTGGTGAGACAGGACATATAAAAAAGAACTGCGCACGATTAACCACAAAATTTGAGCTTCCAAAGACACTGTGCAAGCGATGTGGCAAAAGCAGACACTGGACTAAGGATTGCTGCTCCCTCACTAACATCTATGGAGAGCTGCTGCCCCCGAAAAAGTCACCCGACTTAAGGAGAAAAGTGACTTCTAATTCAATGCCAGATCTTAAACAGTGCACCTGTGAACTGTCAGGAAACAAGGCAGCAAGCTCCAGGGGTGGAGTGATAACACAAACACCCCCTCAACTGCGTTCCATCCTGCATAGTCCATCCCTTCAGCAGGTGCCAGGAAACTACAGCAATTAGAATGAATCATGTTAAACCTACCATTCCCTGCTTAAATCAGATGAACAGATTACGCAAGTTGTGCCCTTACCACGTGACCCCAATCCTAAGTTCTCCCTTCCAGCTGTAACAAGCAGAAAGACCATTTCTAACATGTTCTGCTTACTTTCCAGGATCTCGCAGTCCACAGAAGACCACTATCACTAAGCTTTTAGACACCATGGAGCAGTGGCATCTCAGGCTGGAAACAATTTTTTAGGGGGGGAGTCACTCAGCAGATGCAGCTGTCCAAACTGTTTTGGAAGATGCAGATCTGTCCTCCCCCAAGTCCATTTAAACAAACCCTTTTTAACTTGCTTTGAAATTTTGCTTTGTATTGATATTAACTATTTCTTGTGTCACAACATGCTGCAAGAGGACTATCACAACAGACATTTTCAAACAAATAAGAAAGGGTGAGATATGAAGGAGCAAGATTCAGGATGGGAACAGTTCCATGCATGGAGAAAAGCATACAGCAATTGGAAGGACTTTATTATATGGACTTTACTGTTATTATGTGGTTTCATTGTATTCCCACTACACAGTGCACAGTCTGGACATGCCCAGGCTTGCCATGAGTTTGCCTGCTCCCTGCTTCCCCCGCTCCTCCCCCTTTTGCCCGTGTCCCTATCCTGGTTTGTCCCCGCCACCTGTCTGTCTCATGCTCCACCCTATGTTCTGGCCCTTTCCCCTCCCGAGCTGATAAAAGACCGGGTGCACGTGTGAATAAAGGACTCTACCTGCATCCCACCTTTGTGTCCGGGACCCGTGCGGTGCCACCGCCCTGTCCTCCCCTTTCGGACCGCGGCACAGGACCATGGGGTGGACATGAAGGCAATGAAACCCTATAAAAAAGTTATCAGTCATGGGGGTTCTCATCATCATGGCCGGGCTTCACAAACGAAGATCTGGGAAGGTTCTATCCACATTTGCTACAGGCACGCTGGTGGCTTATGAGGCCAATACGTGACAGACAAATCCGATTGCAAAAGGCACAGCAGAAAGACTCCTTAGATGGTGTATTCTGCAAAACATGGTTCTTTCTGCATTGCCTTTTCTCCTCGAGGGTGATCCTGCGTGTGTTCTCAAAGGAGACAGCTGCGTTATAGATGGCGTGTCTCCAGGCCTCCCGATTTGAGGCCAGAGTAGACCAGTTATGGTGATCAATGTGGCCAAGGCTGAGAGGTTATCATAGTGATGGGTTAAATGCCATTGTTGTGTTTGCTGTTTGCTTTATGCCTGAAAGCAGCCAGCCTAACTACAGATACCTGATGGACAATCTATTTAAGTATGTAATTGGCACTTTAGAGCTGTTGCTGGCTGAGAACTATGTGATGTTTATCTGAACGGTGCAACCACACGGAGGAAAATGCCCAGTTTAGGCTGGCTCAGGAAGTGTCACAAGCAGATAGACAGAAGGTTAAGGAAATCATGTAACATCATTGACATGAGGGTTGGTGTGGGCTCAGCCACCAAGTTTTCTCAAACTATTGTGTTCCTAAGGCCTGTCTGTTGTACAATAGCAAGGAATGTTGCCAAATGCCACCACCACATGAACTAAGCTAGAAGTATACAAATATCTTAGCTGGCAGTTTTTGAAGACACGGCCTCAGAGAAGAACTTCTACAATGCAGCCAAAAAGCAGTGTAAGACCTAAAACCCTAAGCAAGCCACGGCAATGCAATGTCACTAGCTTGTTTCTCACAAAGTTACAGAGCCTGCAGCCTGTATCTGCAGTCCATATAGTTATATCATGCTTTGCTTGGTTTAGCTTTTTGTTCTTCTCGAAGTGCGCTGCTTTTCGACATTTTTGGTAGAAATTATTTTCTATTTACTACTCTTTTTCACAGTTATTTCATTCAAATAGAGTTCTTTGTTCTTACACACTTTTCTAACAGCATAAAATATTTACAAGCAGACTGTTAATTTGCAAAAGATAATCACAATGCAAACCTCTACATTTTAAAGGCTTTTGCTACACACATTACACAGCTTATACACTATGCATATTTGCGAAGAGTCTAATGCTGCTGCTTTAAACGATTAAGACCAGATTAAAGCTAAGGATGAGCTCTTTCAGGCTGTGTGTTAAAAAAGCCTCAATTACTTCTGATTGTGCACAAGACAAGGCGTGTTTTGAGACCTTAAACACAAATCTTTGAAAGAGCCCAACAAAGTTAGATGGTTACATTCTTACTGAAAGACAGCGGGAACTTGCCTCAGAATTTCCTGCTGAACTTCACTGAAGCCTCCAGCCGTAAAGTACTATTGATGGAAGTGCCGCGGGCCGCTTCCATGAGGACTTGAAACCAGATGTTCATGAAGTCTTAACCACTCTAGGTCTCAGGGAACGCCTTTTAACACTGACCACCATTCTGTACTGAGGCTGGTGAGGCAGTGATGAACCATAAAGTTGTTTTCAGGTTTCTCTGGAACAGCCTCTCAAAAGGCTGGGGCTGGGGCTCCAGGTCTTCCAAACTAAACAAGCTTTCCTTCCGGATCCAAGGCAGGGTCAGGTATAAATGGAGATATACCCTACGGCATGATCCTGTTGTACCGCATCTTTTCTCTCGTATCTGCAAAAGTTTCCAGAGGTGATAGAAGTGCAGGGTCCCATTAACAGAAAATGGGATATTGTCTCACTTGCTGAACTTCCCAGGGAGAATTCCCAACACAATCCCATGCTGTGGTAGTGCCTGGAAAGAAGGAACTCCATGGGAATCCACTGTGGTTCATTGCTTTCTGAAATGATATGTCTCTGTTTCAGAACTGAAGGATCTCAGCTTAGGTAGTGCATTCACAATGTACACAGGTTTACGTAGGTCAGACACAAATTTTTAAATACATTGAAAATAGTAAGCAAAGTTATATGCATTGAAACAGTACGTGAATAAACATTTGTTACGTGTGTATTGTGGGGTCACATTTTAACTACTTTAAATAGCAAACATATATATCCTCTCACAATGGTTATTTACTACTGCTTGCTTAAAATGCGTTGTGAAATGCCACAGTGACAACTGCCATACTATCTTTCACTAAACACGAAAAGTTTGAATAACAATGGAAAAAAAAATAAAAATACTGCATTGATATGACACGTTAAAGTTCCTGACAGTTAAAAGTTACTACTTCATTTTAAATATCCCCATTGAAACACATCTATTTGTATAATTAGTCACCTTACACTGTATACTGCAATACAATGTTTAGCATATTGTAAACTTTCACCAAACAATGAATTTTTAGTAAGAAATTGTACAAATATACAGCTATTTATACCACATATATATAAGGCCATTAACATAACAGCAAGATACATATAGAGAACTACAGTCAACATTACAACATATGTAATGAACTCTTCTCCCAGCTGACAATAATCGGGTTCATCTTCCAACCATCAGCAGTCTTTAGTAAATCTAAAGTTTCTAACAGGTTTTAGTGATGTCTTCCAAAATGAGTAAGTGCCAAATACAGTCTCAGCATGCAATGCCACTGTGGTGTGTGATGTCCTTAGATGTACATGGACTCTGTCCTGGCTGTTGGGCAGCATGAAAGGTTTTTTTCTGAGTCAGGTGCGTTACTGAATGAACACCCAAAACACATGATTGTTGATAAATAAGTCCTCAAAGTTAAATAAGTGGTTAGTGTTTTCCTCTGTGATTTAAGTGCATGAATATTCAAACTTCATGTGTAGTTTAAATCTAAAAGCCATGGAAAAGGACTTATCTTGAGGAGTCCTTTACTTACAGAAGTTCCCATTGTGAAACGGAGATTCATTTTTCTCAGTGATACACGAGGGAACATTCATTGGTGGGAAATCTTCCCTTGGCTTCTGGGTGTTGCTGCTGCTGGATTTGCTTCGACTGTGATCTGGTGTGGGCTGAATAGGCAAAGATCTGGCCACCTTGGATTTCACCAGGCAGCCACAAACAAGGCGAAAGAAGGCGCGACGCATTTCCTTACTGGCCAGGGTATAAATGATTGGGTTCATTGCAGAGTTGATGACCGCCAGAGCAATAAACCAGTTGGGTTTGTACAAGATAGAGCACTCCTTGACTCTGCAGGCCACATCGATGAGGAACAGGATGAAGAGTGGAGACCAACAGGCAATGAAGACACTAACGACGATCACGACAGTCCTAAGGAGCGCCATGGAGCGCTCCGAGTTATTGTGGTTGGTGACATTGCGACTGCTGGACTTAACCAGTATGTAGATACGGGCATAAAGGATGACAATGGCAACCAAAATGGCTATGAAGATACTAATGCAGAACACAACATACTTCTTGGAGTACAGAGGCAAAATTGTCGAGCAATCTGGTAAGTTGTTTATACAGTTCCAGCCGAGGATGGGTAGGGCACCCAAGGAAATTGAAATAAGCCAGCATGTACCAATGAGAAGGAACACTCTGTATTTTTTATTTGCATCGTAAGGCCTCATTTTAATCATGGTTAAATGTCGCTCAATAGCTATGGCTAGCAAGCTGAAAGTGGAGGCTCCCAGGGCAACAAACATGCTGCCTTCTCTAATGAACCAGATTGTGGAGGATAAGCTCAGAGTCTTCTTCCCAGACATAAGAATGTTTACTTTGTAAACAATCCCAGCTAAAAGATCACAGAGGGCTAGATTGCCAATAAAAAAGTACATGCGGTTGTGAAATTTATTGTTTTTCCATATGGCAATCAACACCATCAAGTTTTCCAGGACTATGAAACTACATAGGATTAGAAATGCAATAGCGGGCAGGTCTATATTACCAGTTGCCTTTTCCCTTGAATTAAGCTTTCCTGTGTAATTATAATGCAGTACAATTAGAGAGTCCATCTCTTCATTTCCTTGAGGGCTGACAAGAGCAAAAGGTGGCATGGTAACTGCTGCCATCATTTGTTCCCTGATGGATGCTGGACTTTTCTTTCCTCAGTATCACGAGAATATAGTTCCAATAATTTTCCACAAGAGGGAGATCAAGCCACGCTCCTCCCAGCACTCCTCTGGGCAGGCGTTGTGTATCCCCAGCTCCAGCAAGCCTTGCATATTAATTCGGGAGAGTGGCTTGCAAACCAGGCTCTGAAAATAAAACCAACAAATGCAACATAAATATCACCATCTTCCCATGTCACCCAGTGCTCAAGCTGCAAGATGCACCCAGGAGCCAAGAGAGAGGGATGGTGACTGTGGCAGGAAACTGAGGTAGAACATGGCTGCATGCCTACCAAGGTAGCTGTAGGGTAGGTAAGTCCAGACACATCTTGGCTGCAGAAGTATGAGGGCAATGTACAGAACTGCTCCAAAGTGTTTCCCCCTATGAAATCTCTGGTCCCAGCAAGACCCACTGTGCACAGCAGACAGCTCACTGATCCTCCAAAAGACCTGAGTGCACATGGTGCTACCAAAACACCACCCAACCCCGCAGCAGCGGGGAAAACTCTCTGCTTTCTAAGCTTGTGCTTGTTCCCCACGCAGACTCGAGGTAGGAAAGATTCTGAGAAAGCTGGTATCAAGTCTTTATGCCAGCATGCGTGTTGCCAATGCCCAAAATAACTTCCCACCCTTAATGGTATAAAATTATGATATTTACAATTGAGAAGATGCACTGAAAGCCAGTCATCATAAAACCAATCCTGCTTCCCATTCAAATTAGTTGGATTTCTGCTACCTTTTTAAAAACAAACATAGCAAGTCATATTTTTATAAGTTTTGCTTTTCTTTATGGTTCACTTTTTTTTTTCCCATTGCATATGTATACAAGTCATACATTTAAAGTTTTTGTTTGCTTGTTTGTTTGTTTTTAAAAATAAAAAATAGTTACACCCAATTTAATTGTCCTTCTCAAAAATTCTGATTTTCTTTAAGTTACAACATAGAATGAACTGCAATGTTTTCCCATGGACTTTGAGGTTCCATTTTTGCAGCAGATCCTTCAAACTTTTTTTCAATAAATATCAAGAGATCTATAGAGCTTTGTAAAAATATCAGATGTCAGAAGTACTTACTGTTTTACCAAAAATGTAAGAGTTTTGTTGCAGCATAATCCAATGAGAATTGAGGTCCGTGCCCCAAATGTATGCACTGAGGATGAAAAAACAGCCAATGTTTCAGTTTTCTATGAAAACCAGGGTGGGGATGAGGAAAGAACTTGTTTCATCTGAACCAAATTTGTAATTTTTTTTTCTGTGAAAGGTAAAAAAATAAGAATTTGTGCTGGATACCAGGACAATTTCCATTGGCCCATAATTAAGTAGCTTAGTTTGGGGAATCTTTTAAGAGCTAGAGCTCTTAAACCATACCATTTATTTACTCAATGAGCATTTTCCAAGCACATTAAAGACACTTTCAAAAGAGAGGTATCAAGGGAAGGGGGGATGGAACTAGATATCTTTAAGGTCCCTTCCAATCAGATCCATTCTATGATTTTATGATCCTATACAGTTTTCTGAAGACCAGAAAAATGTGTGAGCCACTGCCAACCCAGCAGTCTGCTTGGGGCACTTAAAAAGTGAGAAAAATATTTTCAAGTGTCTCTCAAGAGGATGAGGGGAGGAGCAAACCACATCCCAGAAGAATGTAAAGGGATTTAAAGGGATGACCCACACCCTATTTTTCTACTCTCTCTTTTCCTGGTTTCCCTCCTTCAGAAAGGACATGATCTGACAAAAGCCTACAGTAAATTGACTTGAATTCTTTAGTACACTCAGGGTGTTTTAAAATTATTTTCTGAGAAAATAACTGGCTATTTGCCCATTGTAATTTTCCCACTCTAGTTCATAGTTCCAAACTGTGGTGTCCTTGGTCCTTTTTTACTCTGAAGATGACAGCAACCACCTCACTCATTTCCCAGAAGCTGAACTGGGCCCTCGAGTTGTTAAAACTCTTTTCTGAAACATGGTAACAGTGGAGCTCTCGACAGAACAACTTCACCTCAGCTAAGGTTCAATGTAATTGTAATTCACTCACAATCTGCACACTGTTATCACATAAATTGTCACAGCCTTTCATTGTATTGGCTTATAACAAAATCCCACTGTGTCCATATGAATTGCAAGTGCTTTCCACTGTAAAATAAACAATTACATTTGACTTGAAAAGTGTTTGTTAATAATAGCTCAACCAGCAATACTCACCAGGCTGGCTGATGGCTGCCTGAGAGAATAATATTCCTAACATTTAGGAGCACCACACATAACAAAATAAATGTTTCTGGAAGTCTTTTTCAAGCCAGTTATCACACCGGTCTATCAAAGGGCAAATGCATCTCTTTCTGTGAAGAAAATTATATGCCATACGTAGGAGTTTATCAGCCACAACTCAGCAGATGCAAACTGTCATGACTCTGCTAAAGGCAACGGTGTTGTACCAGTTCCCCTGGCTGAAGGCAAGGACGATGCACTCAATCAGCAGAAATTGTACAGGGGCTCTGCCACTGTTAGAAATTGCTTCTCTTAAAATTATTACAGCAAACTTAGTATCACAAAAGTAAGTCTTTGCCTCTGACAGGCTAGTGAGAAGGCAGTGAAGGTTGTAACATTACTATCTGCCAGGACTCTCATGGAATGAGCATCACGCATGAGACACTTGAAAGTTAATATAAATAATAATGCAATAAATTAAAATTTATTCTCTTCTGGCAGCAACATTTCCAAGTAATATCTTTTAGCCATACCCTTCTTATGTATTTCTCTTGCTTTGTAGCCAGTAACTCAGAAAGCACAGTCTCCCTTTAGCAGTTAGAAAAATTGATGTTGGTTTTGCATTACAATAACAAGACAGCAATGGCCAGGTCCGGGATAACCTGTGTCACTGCTTTCTGACAGTACCACAATTTACTCTGCAAAACATGTTTGCCCCAGTCACATACTAGCTGCAAAGTGTGGACTTCAGTTCGGAATATTTAAAAAATAACCTGAAGAACCTGCCTGTGGCCTGTTGTTTGCCCAGCACTGCCATGGTTAGGTACCTCAGCACCCTGAGCTCTTGAAACCACCGGAAATGAATTTTATTCCCTCTAAAGCAAGGCAGGGGATCCCTATCGCTCCACCACCAGGTACCACTAGAAAGATAAACTAACCTCTCTGCATTGCAGGGGCGGTCTGGCTATGCTTCCTCACGGATGTGATGGCTAAAACAGCGACAGCTACATTACTCAAATAAAGGCAGTGGTACAATGTCAAGAACCACAGTCATGTGGAACCACAATCATGTGGAGGGCAAAATTCAGCTGCTCCTCCAGCTATTTGGCTTCCCTACTCCAAGGGTGGAGAGAGAAGTTGGGGTCAGCCATGAACACCAAGATATCCCCCTCCTGGCGAATCTCCTGGCCCACCCCATGCTTTGGGGTGTCTGCAGTGGTTAATGTGGTCTCCTGCAGAGGTCAAGGATCCTAGCAGGGTCAAGCAGCCTTTCAGTTTGGAGCAGGGGCTCTCTAGCATGGCTCATAAACCTAGATCCCACTGGGGTCTGTATGGTCTCTCTGCCACACATGCCATGAATAAAGCAACACTGAGTGGAAGGCCACAATCCCTTAACCTGCCCTATTGCAAGGCACATCTCCACTGCCTCTCCAGCTCAAACATATAATGGTACAGGCAGAAACTCAGAGTCATACCTCTCACCAGCTCCCCCGGCCAGCAATTTTCCTCTGGGAATGTGTAATTCCCAATGCCAGGAGGCAGCAGGGAACTTGTGATAATGAGGATGCCAAAACCCTTCAGCAACCATCTCCAGTACATCTCTGCTCTCTGTTTCCAGCAGGCACTCTGGTTAAGAGTTCCACAGGGACCTGAGGGCTTTTACCATCTCATGAGTCACTCTGTACTTTACATCTAAGAGAAATAAGAAATTTCTGTTTTCAAAAGAGTGAACCAAACTGCTCTCAATTTTCTGAAAGTCAAAGCAACAAGTGAGAACAAAGTGAGAATAGAACTTAACTTTTCACCACCTACTTTTGCCTGCACAAGAACGTATAATGCTATGCATTCAGTACACTCACTGTAATTTGACCAGAATTGTATTTTCCTGCTTTCCAAGTGGCCATGAACAGACTTGACCAAAGAAACTGGATGCTCCTTCACCACTACCACACATATTTCAGTTCTCCCTTCTCTGCCGTGTCTTTGACCACCAAAGAAAATTTTAAAATGGTAAAGACAATAATACATATCCAAAGCCAAACTTTTTTGTATTTTGTGTATTTGTACAGCCTTTGCAATTGAAAAGTAAACGTAATTTATCAGCTAGCCTCATTAAAAGAAAAGGCTTTTCAGAACAGCAGCACATTTCAATACACATTTCCACTGAAATTAAGCTGTGCTAGATGCAAATGAAGTTTAGACAATAAACATCTGTTGCAGAACAATGTCTTAGACAACTCAAATAAACGTTAAAAAGATTTTCTATTTAAGTGGATGTGCTGGCAGTTTACAGCCTCAGAAAAACAAATAGTTACTTTTCCTGACTTCTGGCTCTTAGATATCAGTTTGAATTTTGTAATTCCGAATAGCACGCATGCACACCCCCATCACTCCCGGCTGGTTTAATTCTTGCACGTTAAAGGGAACTCACTTGGACTTCTTTCCCCGTCTCCCAGCACTCCCGACTTACTCCCCCCGCCTCCAAACTCCGGGATTCCGTTCACAAATTTCCACTACTGCAGCGACCTGCACTTTCTGGAGGTGACAAACATCTTGTCTAAGTCACCCGACGTGCCCGCGGTCTCACAGAGCAACCACCACAGTCCCGGGGCTCCCACGCGTCCCGTGCCCGCCACCGCGCCCGTACCAGGCAGGCGGCGACGGGCCGGTCCGGCACCGCTCTCGGGGCTCGGCAGGACGGGGACACCTCGCCCTCCTTCGCCGAAGCGGGACGGCCCCGGCAGGCGGGCGGGGTGCGGGCCGGGCCGCCCCGGAGCCCCGAGCTGCGCTCGCCGCGCTCACCCCGGAGCTCCGCGGCCGCCGCATCCCACCCCGGGGCTGCGCCGGGCAGGACCGAGCCGGGCCGGGATGGGACGGGATGGGATCGCCCCGGCCCTGCCCGCCGCCAATCCCCGCAGCGTCCCCTCCAGGGTACCCCCCGACCGACCGACCTCCCCTCCGGGCTTTTCTCCGGCGCGTCCGCCCCCCTTGGGTCCTGCCTCCGGCACTCTGCTCCCGCCGCCACCGCCGGACAGGCTTCGCTCCCCGCTCCGGCGGCCCCTGCCTGCCCCCGTCCCGTCCCGCCCCGCCTCACCCCGCCCCTTGGCCGCTCACCGTGCCCCATGCCCGGGGGAGCAGAGCCGCGGAGCTGGATGCTGCCGGCGGGGCTCGGCCGCGGGAAGAGCGGGGGGTTTAATTCTTACACGGCGCGAAGGGCAGCCGGGGTGAAAATGTGAGACGGCAGAGCCCGCCGGCGAGTATTTGTAGCGTCCATAACAATGCGTGGTGGAGGGAGGAAGTTCTGGGTAGGTCTTACTCAGCTCGAGCGATTATCGCGTTCGAGAGAGGGTTTACGTGTGTTGCATCTGCCCCTCTGTTTGACCGTCTCCAATAATGAGACCTTCAGAGAGCTTGAATCGAGAGGCACATGGCGAAGCACAAGTGCTTCTGGTTTGACCCAGAGCTGCCGATTGCGGCGTGTTTCCTGGTAAGGTACCACTTGACAGAGTTATTGACTGAGTAATAGCAACTCAAGGACGGCGATAGGCACGCGGATTGCCCCAGTGACAGGAGCAGCGCTTTGGAAAAGAAGTTGGAACTTGGATCCTGCAACCGTCTAATTTAAAATGTACTTGTAAGATGCCAGTGGGTACAGCAAATCTTTCTGCCAAAATGTTTGCGGTGAGCTGGTAAACAGGAACACTACAACAACCTTGCAAAGCGCAGGCAGGCGTATAGGGTTGCCCAGTCGTCCCGCTGCAATCAGTGTTTTTCTTGAGAGCCTCCTGTCTGGACCTGAGCACTGTTGCACTCAGAGTTATGCCGTAGGCTCGGCTTTCAGGTCGCCTGCACTGCTGCTCTGCAGGGGAGAAATGTGCTGGAAGAAAGCAGAACTAGGCTTTTCATAGCCAAAAGTTTATGGCTTTTCATAGCCAAAAGAGGATGTAGCAGAACAAACTGCTACAGTGACTGCTTTTTATCTGCTGAAAAAGAGTAATACAACTCTTCTAGTTTAGGACTTTGATAGGAAATAAGGACTACACAGGGCAAAATGATGGTAAATTTGGTTCAAAGCTGATGGACCCAATGGACATGGCCCCACTTAGCTATGGATAGGACTATACACAATGTTTGATGGTCCTAGCCTTATCTCCTGTCCTCTCCCCTCATGTACTGTGTGGAAAGCTGCTTTCTTCTGTGGAATAGGAGAGGAGTGGAAAACTCCTTCCATGTCATGTAAAAGCACTCGCCACTTTTAGGCAAAGGGGAGCCCGGGCCTGTGAATCATTGCTCTCCCATTGCTCAGCAAGGCCTTGTCCTGCAGTTTCCCTGAAAACCACACCACGGAGGTCTGTATTTCTCCTGGTAGCTGCTTGCTACATGCCGTCAAGACCCAGTTCTTGTAGAGCAGATGTTTCAGTGAGCAGGCACTAGCTTAGCTCTGTGTTCTATTATTTTTGTTCTTTTCCATCTTTTTCCTTTGCTACCTTTTGCCTACTTGGAGAAGGGAGCCAGAAGAAATAGTCATTCTGATCAGACTGTCATAGATGAGGGGACAAGATACTGCCACCAGAAAGATCTTTTGGCAGTGGTGCCAGGAGCTGGTAAACTGTGTCCTGCTGCCTGGGATGGTTTTAAAGGGCCTTCCTTAGTTGGTCTTACCACCACCAGCAACCCACAGGAGCAGCCCACAGCAAGGCCGCACTACAGTACAAGGGAGTCACTTCAGAGAGGGGTGTGCATGGAAAATGGTGTATCCGTGGTGAGGACCAGATGTTGCCAAAGCAACTGTTGGCAAAAAGCTTTGGGGAGCTCAGCCTCTCTGGCAATAGCTGATACAACCCACTGGTTCAATTCCAAATGTCACGCAACAGCCAGTGATGCACGCCTGGAGAGCTTTCCACGAAGCTCTTGACCTTAAAGGAAATTACATTTTTGTGGCGTAAAGAGATTAATGACTAAGTAAGGCATAGAAAGTAAAGGAGCTGTAATGAATTTTCGTGGCAACAGAAGGTTAACAGCTCAATTTTCCATGGGCGAGAAGTCTTTTCTGCCCTGGAAATTCCTGAGTGAGTGGGCAAACAGGATGAATAATGGGAAAGCAGCCATTTCTGATGTTATTTGGGGTACTTGACGGTGAAACTAAAACTGAGAACAAGATGTTTCCAATATCTGGAGGTCCAGAGTGACCTGCTGATAAATGCTGTGTTCATTTCCGTGCTGCTGAGTGAAACATAGGAAAAACAGCTCCAATGATAGATCCACAAATCTGCACGGAGTGCTAACACTCAGAAGAGAGGTCTTTGTGGATAGCTCTTAGAAAGCGTCTGACGTTCATTTAACTGTTAAAGTGAAGCTGAATTCTAGGAATTATAAAGAAAGGACTAAGGAACAAATTGGAAAACATGTTTCTGCGAACTTGGCACGTTGAGTACCATGAGTACCTCTGGTTGCTTCCTCTCCTTCAGAGTGCAGTACAACACAAAAAGGCAGAAAAGGCAATGGAATGGTTAGAAAAGTCATCTCTGGAGGGAAAATCCAAGTTGGCTGGGTCTAATTAATGGTCTGAAAAAGGGAAAAACACAACCAACCAAGATGGAATATTTTAAAACACAAGGACACAAATTTCCGGCAATGTACCATTGAATTGTGGAACGCAATCAACGGGAGAGAAGAAACCATTAAACAAACCACATGAAACCGCATGGAGTAAAGGCCTGTCAGTGGCTCTTAAATACAATGAAAGAGCAGTGCAGGGCACAATGGGTGGGAGTCCCAAGCAGGGACTGTGGGTGCCCTGCTCGATTTCAGCTCCAAAGTTTCCATGGGCTGAATCCTTTCTGGGCTGTTTTCTCCTTTGTTGCAATTAAGTATGGTCTTGACTGTGGGGGCAAGCTATGGCACACTTAACAGTGTGTCTGTTGCCCACTTCTGCAGGTATTGAAAAAGGAGACATTCCTGCAGGGGATTTAAACTGGACATGGCAGAGGAAGAGGCAGCAGAGGGACTCGGAGGGAGATGGCTCAGCCGATGTCATTGGCTCAGCAAATGTCCTGGTGAAGTTACCTGAAGGTCCTGGGCCTCCCAGCACCCTCCTGTCGTGGGTTTTGCATGGAGAATAGCAGATTAAAGAAGGGGGTTTTTCCTTCTGTGTGTGGCTTTTGGTCCAGAGAAAGCAGTGAATGGTGAGTGCCATTGATACAGAAGGCTTTTCAGCACATGCTTAAAAGTCAAAAAAAGCAGTTAAAGCTACTTCTATTTACAGATAGATAAAATACATAAACATGCAATAAAAGGTGAAGTGTTACCCTCAGATGAAAGATATTGTGGTTTCTCTACAGAAAAAACAGTTCATGTTTCAAGATTAATATTATCCTTCTCATGTATTAGTTACAGATAAGTCCACTTTTTTTTCTGGTAACTGTTTAGAGTGTGATAAAATCTTGGTAATTTCTGTCTTTCAAGATCATGTGATGTTTTATTAATGCATTAGTTATAATTTCTTCGTTCTGACATTCATCCAATGCTTCACAGGTCTGTCATTGATTTCCTTACCTGGAGTTCCTGAAGCAACCCCTCATCATTTGGAAAACCAGCAGTTTATTTTTGACTGTTTTGGTGTGAAAACTAAACAGCAACAGAGCAGTTTTAAAACTAAAAACTCAAAATAGTATGATTTTATCTGATTCTATGATAACATATTTTAGCTCTCTACTGTTGCTGAACTATCCTTTTTATATTAACAAGATGTATTATGTATGACTTGTTACATCTAGGTGATGCAGTTCTGCAACATATTTTTGTTTGTGACACCATTTTTGTTCCTATTTCTGTGACTCCAACCTAGTCTTAAGCCAATATTAAATGCAATATTGTTTAAATTAGAAGTCATTATGAGACAAATTTAATTAATATTTTAATTGAATGTAAACATAAAAACAAAAAAGGAGAAATTTATTTGGAGTGCTGTTTAATCATAATCTGCAGTGACCAAAATACATTTGTTTACTACATCAAAGAAGGAATCTGTCGATCATTGTAAAATATAAAGAGAGGATATTTTGGAACCTTCAAAAACTATGACTTTTTCACATCCTCATGCACATGTATCTCATGTCTTTGTATTTGCTGTGTTCTTTTGCCTGTCTCAACTTTTTTGAAAGATACGTGTTCTCCTTTCTTTGGCAGCAGTAAAGCTGACACACAAACTCTGTAAATCCATCACGGGAATGACTGAGGCCAAGATCTTGAAAACACTGTTACCTCAACATTGCTAACATTTTGTCAATGTAATTTGAATCACGGCATCTCACAATACATTTGAGTCAATATATTTAAATCTGTTATCCCTGAACAGCAATATTCTGATTCAGAGCACCTTAAAATATTCACACTGCTTCAACACACCATTTTGG